TGCCATGCGCAAAATAAAAATAGTCAGAGCTGAAGAAGCTTCTTGGATAAGCAGCAAAACGTCTCCAAAGAAAAATCAGAAAGTCCAGTTGCCTCTTGGGAAAAGCCCCTTTGGGACTGGTAGGTCAGTCTTTCCTCAGGTCTGGTGGTGCAGCTCCTCTAGGCAGGAGAGCCCAGGCAGGCCTCCATGATGGCTGTCCAGGACGTTGGAGGTCCACTGGATTCCCCACCGTTTCTGGAAGCTTCCTCCCTTTCCAGACTGGGCGGAAAGAGGCCCACCCCAATCTGATCCCGGTCCTCTCCTTGCCCCCCCAAGTGCCGACGAGCAGTTCACCGGCTCCATGGAGACCAACGTGGTGATCCGTTGTGACGGGCAGATCAGGTGGGACTCCCCGGCCATTACCAAGAGCTCCTGCAAGGTGGACGTCTCCTATTTCCCCTTTGATGGGCAGCAGTGCCCCCTGACCTTTGGCTCCTGGACCTACAACGGCAACCAGGTCGACCTCCTCAGCATGCAGCAGACGGGAGACCTGACGGACTTTGTGGAGAACGTGGAGTGGGAGGTGCTGGGGATGCTGGCCAAGAGGAACGTCATCACTTACGGCTGCTGCTCGGAACCTTACCCGGATGTCACCTACACGCTGCTGCTGAGACGGAGGGCCTCCTTCTACGTCTTCAACCTCCTGCTGCCCTGCATCATGATCTCCTTCCTGGCCCCCCTGGGCTTCTACCTCCCGGCAGACTCGGGCGAGAAGGTGTCCCTGGGGGTGACAGTTCTTCTGGCCCTGACAGTCTTCCAACTGCTGGTGGCGGAAAGCATGCCGCCCTCCGAGAACGTGCCCCTGATTGGTGAGTAGAGAGCCAAGGTCCCGGCTGTAGATCCCACCACCATCCCCTTCCCATGCAGAAAAACATGCTGACCTGGATGTCTGTGGAGATCCACATCATGGCTGACCCAAAGGTGTTTCTTCCAAAAAGGTTAGGGTTTCATTAGGTCTAGTTTAATGGAGAGAAGGACTAGCGCATGACATGATAGCCCTCTTCCAATATTTGAGTGGCTGCCACAAAGAAAAGGGAGTCAAGCTATTCTCCAAAGCACCTGAGGGCAGGACAAGAAGCAATGGGTGGGAACTAATCAAGGAGAGAAGCAACCTGGAACTAAGGAGGAAATTCTTGACAGTGAGAACAATTAACCAGTGGAACAGCTGGCCTCCAGAAGTTGTGAATGCTCCAACACTGGAAGTTTTCAAGAAGAGACTGGATAAGCATTTGTCTGGAATGGTATCAGTTCTCCTGCTTGAGCAGGGGGTTGGACTAGAAGACCTCCAAGGTCCCTTCCAACTCTGTTCTTCTGTTAAGGCAACCGGACTTTCTTGGGTTTTATTCCTTGAAAATGTTTGACTTCTCCTCCAAGAACTTTCTAACAGTTAGAATTTAAGAAGTTTCTTGGATCAGAAGCCAAACATTTTCACAGAGAAAGCCAAGAAAGTTCAGTTGCCTCTTGGGAAAGCACCTTTGGGACAACCAGGACCTGGAAATGCAATGGACCCCACCAAGGATTGGCCAGAGGCCTAACATGACCAAGCATGGAGTTTGTCCGTTCTGCCCCTGTGGCCAATTGCCTTGATAGACTGAGAGGTTGTTTGAGGATGCGATTAGCCAAGGGTGGCAGTAGCCATGGGGAATGACCCTTGCCATCTGGACTGCAGCCATGGGGACACGTGGTGGGGATAGCCTTCACCTTTCATGGTGCCACAGCTTCTTTTATACATATCCAGGGCAGTGCGCTCCAAAACACCAAGTAAACTAACGCAACTCCACTTGAATGCAGTATAACAGAGTTGGAAGGGAGCTTGGAGGTCTTCTAGTCCAACAACTCCCTGCTCAAGCATTCCGGACAAGTGGGGCTGTCCAGTCTCTTCTTAAAAGCCTTCAGCGATGAAGAACCCACAACTTCTGGAGAGAAGCCCTTCCACCGATTAATTCTTCTCACTGTTAGGAAGTCTGTAGAGATTCTCAGTCATCCAGATCATGGTTGTCCCAAAGGTGCTTGCCTCCTGAAAAATGACCTGGATGACTGAGAATCTCTACAGACTTTGAGCTACACAATTTGGGATGAAGACCCTTGGAATGGGTGGGAGGAGGAACGGATTTCCAGAGGAAAAAAAATTGCAGACAACAGGAACCATTTGCACCACTCAGGTGTCCCTGAGGACACAGGTAAACCTCCAAGCGGCCTCAAAGACCTTTTAAAAGGATGCAACTGACCAGCTGCCTGCAAGGAATATAAATCCTTCCGTTCCCCACTATCCTTACCAGAGCTGAAGAAGCTTCTTGGATGAGAAGCGAAATGTCTTCAAAGGAAAAAAACAAGAAAGTCCAGTTGCCTCTTGAAAAGGCACCTTTGGGTCCTTGTCAGGCAGTTTCTCCTTAGTTCCAGGTTGCTTCTCTCCTTGATTAGTTTCCACCCATTGCTTCTTGTCCAGCCTTCTGGTGTTTTGCAGAATAATTTGACCCCCTCCTCTTTGGGGCATCCCCTCAAATATTGGAAAATGCTATCATGTCCCCCTGGTCCTTCTTTTCATTCCTTCCTTTCATTCCTTCCTTTCCCCCAACCTCCAGGGAAGTACTACATTGCCACCATGACGATGATCACGGCCTCCACTGCTTTGACCATCTTCATCATGAACATCCACCACTGTGGCCCCGGGGCCAGGCCCGTCCCCAGGTGGGCCCGCAAGTTCATTCTGCGGTACATGGCCCGCATCTTCTTCGTCTACGAAGTTGGGGACAGCTGCAAGAGCACCCCACAGGAGCTGGACTCACTCCCCCAAGTCCAGAGGGCCAACGGTGAGGAATCCATGGGGGAAGGACCCCCTCCTTGGGAGGCCCCACTGTTCCGAGGGCCTGGGCCCCTCCCTAAGGAGGCGGAGCCTGGTGAACAACCGCCCTGCTCCAGAAAGACGTGTTGGTGCCACCAGGAGAGCATCCTTCAGAATGTGGACTACATCGCCAGCTGCTTCCGAGAGCAGAAGGCCACTTCCAGACGGATGGGGGAGTGGAAGAAGGTGGCCAAGGTGATGGACCGCTTCTTCATGTGGACCTTCTTTGCTATGGTGGCCATCATGAGTGTCCTGGTCATGGGCCAAGCTGTGTGATGCACGGCGCCCATTGTGTGGCTGGGAAAGGCGAGGGAGGACCTATCCGATGGGAAAGTTGGGAGCACATGGGAGTTTAGGTGTGAGTGAGTGTAGGGGTGGGGTGGTGGGTGGGTGGCCAACAGCTGTCAAGTGTGAAGGACCAGGAGCACTCACCAAGTTCATAGCACAGAAGAATTTATTGTTGTTGACTATACCCAGGAATCTGGTCAACTAACGGTCAAAGCTAAATTGGCACTCTGAGGGTCAACAGAATTCCCTGTGGCTGTGCAAAGATTCTAAACTGATGACATGTTTGACCCCACCTTCCAGCTCAGCCTGCTCAGCTCCTACAACAGCCTTTCAGCAGCTTTCCCAGCCTGGTGAATCGTGCAACCCTTCCTGGCTGTTGTCTGGAGTTTTAGGAGCATCTGCAAAGCAGCCCTGATGAGTTGAAGGGAACTCCATTATCCCCTTGAGCTGTGGTGCTGGTTTACAGGGCGCAGACACACGGAGTTGCAAAACAGGGATTGGTGGCATGGCACTTCAGCTCCTGCACAGGGCTGGTTCCAGCCAGAGATTCAATCTTTGGTAAGATACAAAGAATTCCTGCCCAGCCCTCGGTTCCTTTGGAGGCCGGCTGAGGAGAGACAGGAAGAAATGGGTGACATGACTGCCATGGATGAATATGTCTATGGGTGAATATGTCCATGGAATATGGAAGAGAATCTTTGTAGCTCAGGATTGAAGCGTAGGGAAAACTTGGCTGTTTTCTTGCAGACATTTCATGACCCAACTAGGGAACATCATCAGTGCTAGCAGAGCACATCCATGAACAACTACTACCATAGCAGTTAGAAGGCATGATGAAATCTTAATTGCACAAGAGACAAATTGCACAGGAGACAAATTTAACCAAAGTTTCAGATGGGAAGCTGTGAGCATCCAAAACCAGACCAAGTTGAAAAACGTGAGAGAATTCCTGGAAGCCAGGCGCTCAGACAAATCGGCCATCAACAGGCACGGAGAGATGCACAACATCTACATGCCATTGAAAGGAGAATACAGAATAACAGAGTTGGAAGGGACCTTGGTGGTTTTCTAGTCCAACCCCCTATGCAGGCAGGAAACCTATGCCATTTCAGACAAATGGTTGTTCAACCTCTTCCAGTGTTGAAGCACCCACAACTTCTGGAGGGAAGCCATTCCACAGGAAATTCCTCCTTCGTTCCAGGTTGCTTCTCTCCTTGATTCGTTTTCATCCGTTGCTTCTTCTCCTGCCTTTAGGTGCTTTGGAGAATAGGTGGACCCCTTCTTCTTCAAAAAACCAAGAAGGAAACAAAAACCCCCAAAACGGCTCTTTGTCAGCAATCAACACCCAGCTGAGCAGAGATTAACACTAGGCCAACAATCAAGAAGTAAACAAAACCCCAATTAGGAAACTATCAACGTAAACAATCAGTAAACAGCCTAATCAAAGAACCACCAACATTGGCAGGAAAAGCAAAGAGGAAATCTAACTCCCTTCTAGCACTGATGATGTTACCTAGTTGGGTCATGAAACGTCTGCAAGGAAATAACACAACTCAGAAACCATAAAAAACTCCACAGTTGTCCTCCTCCACCTCCTCTTCCTCCTCTTTTTCCTCCCCCTTCCCCTCTCCGCAAGCCCCCCTCCCTTCCAGCACTGAATCATTTTATCTCATTGGGTCATGAAATGTCGGCAAGAAAACAGCCGAGCTCAGAGACCACCAGTAAATCTCCCTGAGTTATCTGTGGTTGAATTCACACAACACCTGGAACCAGGTCTGTTAAACTTGGCTCGCCTTTTCCGGGTGCCATTGCATTCCGTTCCATTCCAGGCTGGCTGATTAGTTTGGGGTTTATTGAATTTCCAAATCTGGGAAATGGGTTAGTTCTATAACCAAGTCAAGTATACAAGTATTGGGCAGTTGTGGTCAGAGAGACTGGCTTTGGGGGACCATTCCAGAAGATCCAGTGTTTCTTCCCACCAGCACCCAGCCAACATATCACGTAATATCGGTTCATCCTAAATCCCTTCACGACCTGGTCACTGTGATAGACAGTCATTTTGGAGATGATCATCTGAAGTTTCTTCTAGGAACAATTCTGACGTTTCATGATTGCCTCTTCTGAAGGCAGAGAGCTCTCCGTTTCCTAATTTGCACAACTGAAGCTTTAAAGCAGGGCTCTCCAACTTTAGCAACTTTAAGACCTGTGGACTTCAACTCCCAGAATTCCCCAGCCAGCATGCCCAGGTTGAGAACCACTGGTCTACTCTAGGTGATCTTTCTGCTCCCTTCCAACTCTATCATTCATGACTGGCTGGGGAATTCTGGGAGTTGAAGTCCACAAGTCTTCAAAAGTTGCCAAAGTTGGACATCCCTCATTTAGTAAAATCGAGCAAGGAAGCGCCACCTCTTGGCCTACGGAGGCCACACCAACCGGCCTCTTCTGCTGCTGCTGCTGCTTCTGGAGTGGCCCCCTCAGAAAAGGGTGGGGAGACCCTCCCCAGCTGTTAAATCACAGGAGTCCCGGAGGTCCAAGGAGCCCCACAGCAAGGAGAGGACCCCAGAGGAGGAGTGGGGCTCGATCTTCAGCGGAGAAAGGGCTCCAGCCTCCACCTGCCCACAGAAAGGAAGATAAGTTGGCTCCTGCCCAGATGATGCCCCCTACCTGCCCACCTGCACTCTGCCTCCCCTGCCCCACAAGCAAAGTCAACAAAAGGCCCCCCTGCGTGACCTCCATCCCAAGCAGCCTCTGCCCCTAATTCCACTCCCCTTCCTTCCAAGGAGAGCCTTCGGGGATGGGAAATCTTTTTTACTTCACACCCAGCTCTTGTGGGCGTGATGGGTGGGGAGGGTGGGATGAGGGCAGACCCTCCCCCAATCCCTCTAGTCAGGGATTGGCCAGTTTTTCTCCAGACCTGCTTGACCCCCGACCGCCCCCTTCCTGCCTCTGCTGACCTATCTCGCCAGGCTTCCAACAAGGTAGAAGGAGGCATGGCTTATGCTTTTGTGCCAGTTTCTCCGTACCAGTCAGTTTCAGTCACTTTCAATCTTGTCTTCCTCCCTTGAAATAAGAATCCATTTTGGTTCTCAGGGTGGGACTGGCCTCATCATCCCTCTGCCCTATGGCTTCCCAGATGTTTCTTTATCCAGGAGGTTTTAGGGGAAATGGGAGTAATGAGGAGGGGATACCACCCCTGAGCTCCCCAGACAGAGTCCTGAAGTCCATCCATCCTATTCCCGCTGCAGTGCTTGATGGTTAATGTGTTCCCTGTGATTGATGATCTACCAAACGGGAGGATATCTGTTGTGGCCTGTTGGCCGCTGGCCCCTCCAGCAGCTGAATTGGAGGAGGAGGGGGCGTGGGAGTCAGGGTCAGCATCCAGGCAACCTGAGAGCTCCGAGGGGGAAGAGGGAATGGAGCTGGCAGAGAGAAAGAGAGAAAAAGGCAGAGCCTGGGCCGTCTGTCAGCCCTCCGATGGAGGGTCAACAGCCCCCAGGTCTGGAGGTGGCTGATGAGGAAGAGGAGGAACAGCTGGGTCCAGTGCCTGACACATGGATGCACAGAAGGCAGAGGAGAGGAGAGCAGTGGAAATCTATGGGCCGGTCCTTGGGACGGAAGAGCCATCGCTGCTAGCAAAGCCCCACCCTCGCTCTGGGGATCAAAGGCAGGGGGTGGAGATGAATAGATGGGACAGACAGCTATTCGTCTTCCGGATTGAGAGACTTGTTAGCCTGAGTTGAGAGATAAACCTTTTTGCGGAGGCTGCTGGCGCTCCTAATAAAGGAACCTTTTGAGTGAACTTCAGAGGGTTTGTCGTCTTTGGGGAGCCGGGTCAGAACAATACCAGTCACAGGCTCACTCCCAAATCCGGGCAATGCCCTGGAACAGAGATTTGGGAAAGAGGCCCACAGCGAAGAGAGAAAGGCAGCCATTTGGGGTGAGGGAGGGATGGGGAAGTGGGGGTCCATGCAGTGAGCAATTCAAACAGGGCCAGGAGAGCCGCTTTCTCTCACCTGACCGGAAGAGGCATTTCTGCGTCCTGCACTTTTTCTCTGCAAACGGAAAAAGAAGTTTGAGAGTGAAAACAGAACCAATTTCTGGCCTTACTGGGAACATCTGCCTATCACCCAAGGATTCTGGGGGAGCAGAGAAGAGCAAGAGAGAAGTGGGGTTTGCCTACATCGTCCCATGATGGGTCCTTTTATTTCTTCTTTTCTTCAAAAAGCAACTGGACTTTCTTGGGTTTTTTTCTTTGAAAACATTTCGCTTCTCATCCAAGAAGCTTCTTCAGTTCTAACTTCAGTTTTGGAAAAAGCACCTTTGGGACAATCACCACCTGGATGATCCTTAGAGATTTCCCTACCTGAATTAGGTATATTTAGCCTAAGGAAGAGAAGGGCCAGGTAGAATAACAGAATAACGGGATAACCTTCCGTTCTTCTGACCTGCATCCTCCGCAGATCCCCTGGGGAGGTCCTTGACTTACGGCCACAATGGAGCCCAACATTTATGTTGCTAAGTGAGGCATTTGTTAAGTGAATTTTGCCCCATTTTATGACCTTTCTTGACACAGTTGTTAAGTGAATCAGTGTAGTTGTTAAGTTTGTTACCCTGGTTTTTATGCAAATCTGACTCCCCATTGACTTTGCTCGTCAGAAGGTCACAAAAGGGGATCACCTGATCCCAGGACATTGCAACCGTCATAAATATGAGTCAGTTGCCAAGAGTCCGAATTTTGATCAATGCTTGCAATGGTCATAAGTGTGAAAATTGGTCATAAGTTACTTTTTTCAGTGATGTTGTAATGTTGAACGGTCACTAAATGAACTCTTGCAAGGACTAGCTATACCCAAATTCCTGCGTAAGACCCCTGCAATGGTTAACACACCTGGCTGTGGGGCCCTCTGCTTCCGGGGAGACCCCGTGGTCTGCGCTGCCTGTGGAGGCCAAAAATATGTGGAACATCCACCATAGTTCAGGACAAGCTCTTGGCTCTACTCCTCCTGGTCCAACAGTCTGCTCCCTTATTGTTCAGTTGCAAAGTTGTGTCCCACTCTGCCACCCCATAGACCATGGCATGCCAGCTGTGAGCTGAAGAAGCTTCTCGGAGGAGAAGCAAAAGGTCTTCAAAGAAAAACCAGAAAGTCCAGTTGCCTCTTGAAAAAAAAACACCCTTAGGACAACCGAGAATACTCTCCATAGGCATAGCATGCCAGGCTCCCCTCTCCTCCCTCGTTTGTCTCCCAGAGTTTGTCCAAATTCATGTTCATCACTGTCTGATGTGAAAGTTGGACCTTAGAAAAGCGAGACGGGAGGAAAATATGCTTGGAAAAGTTAGCAATAAAAGGAAATTAGGCCACCAAAGAACACGGTGGTCGGACACCATCAAAACTGCCAGCAGCCAGAGCACAGAAAAACTCAAAGAAGCAGGACAAGACCAGGAGATGTGGAGAGACCCCCTGGCCCAGGGTCAGACATCATCATCATCCATCTATCTGGTGTTTTAGCAGTTACCTTTCACAAACACGCAGTTGTAGATGCTGTCATCTTCAAGTGAGAGAAGATGGATGAAGTTGGTCTCTTGGGCCTTGGTGAAGTTGACCACCTTGAACTTCTCAAAGGGAGGGATGAGGACCTCTTCCTCGCCTGGGAAGAAGGAATAATTCTTGATGTTGACGCCGTAGCAGGTCTCAATGGTGAAGAAGCTATCTGTGCCAAAGCGCAGAGCGCTCTCGTTGCTCCGCGAGGATGAGGTGAATTGTCCAAAGCGGACCAGCTTGGCGCGCTCGGAAGTGAAGCGGACGTTCCTGACGCCCCGATAGACCTTGTGGCATCGAGGCTCAGCGGTGATGCCCAGGAGGTGAAGGGCTCGCGTCAGGAGAAAGTGGAAGGCCTTGAAATGGAAGTGGTTGAGGTAGTCGTCCCTGGTGCGCCCAGCTTCCCTCACGGCTGCGTTGAAGTCCTTGTGGAAGCGGCCTTGGACAGTGTAGGCCATGAGGGCGATGGCGTGCTCTGGTTTCAGGGTGGAGGACTCCGAGAAAGAGGCCTTTCTCTCTTTCCACATGGAGGCCGCCTCTGCCCAGGCATCGGCGTAGACTCTGTTGGTGGCAAACTCTGTGCGGTTCAGCTCCGCCACTTCTGCCTCCATCAACTCCACGCAACCCTTGTATTGGTCATCGAAAGACGTCGCGGCCATATTGAGAAGCACCTCCTTGACAGAGAAGAGGTCTCTTCTTATTTTGAGTGGGAAAGCAAAGACCTGAAGCAGGAGAAGAAGATGAATGGGCAGAAGGGCTCAGATAGGGCTTTTTCATAAGGTTATTTTGTAAACTTTACTGAATCGAATGTTTTTAATAGGAGAATGGAATGGAATGGAATGGAATGGAATGGAATGGAATGGAGAGGGAGGGGAGAGGAGAGGAGAGGAGAGGAGAGGAGAGAAGAGAAGAGAAGAGGAGAGGAGAGGAGAGGAGAGGAGAGGAGAGAAGAGAAGAGAAGAGAAGAGAAGAGAAGAGAAGAGAAGAGAAGAGAAGAGAAGAGAAGAGAAGAGAAGAGAAGTATTGGTGTAGAGTCACCCAAGGTCCCTCTCCATGACTGACAGGGAATGTGAATCCAAATCTCCCCAATTTTAGATTCAAACCTTCATTACGACATCATGGTGGGTGATTTAAAAAATTCTCACTGAACTTTGCCTGGTGGATTGTTCCTGAGGACCTCAAAATACCTGCACAGTTTCAGTTGGCCTGATAAAAATGTTGCTTCATTATGGATTTTGGAAGAGTTATTATATTTCAGGGCTGTTGTTGGCACTGGACGTTGCACGCTTTCCCCTCATACCTGAACATTCCCCATAAGCAGCCACATCAAACATAGCTCCAGAGATGCTGGGGAGCACAGACGCCTCATTCTTCACTCCTTTCAAAGCAAAACAGAGAGATCATCATTCCTGTTATTCCTGCCTTCCTATGCCAAAACAGAACAGAACAGAATAACAGAGTTGGAAGGGACCTTGGAGGTCTTCTAGTCCAACCCCCTGCTCAAGCAGGAAACCCTACGCCATTTCCCACATGTGGCTGTCCAATCTCTTCCTCACAACCTCCAGCGATGGAGGGAATTCCTTCCACTTGTCAATTGTTCTCACTGTCAGGAAATTTCTCCTTCTTCCTGGATTGGTTTTCTGCTTGATTAGTTTCCATCCATTACTTTTGCCTTCAGGTGCTTTGGAGAAGAGCTTGCCTCCCTCTTCTTTGGGGCAGCCCCTCAGATATTGGAAGACTGCCATCATGTCACCCCTGGTCCTTCTTTTCATCAAACTAGACATCCCCAATTCCAGCAACCGTTCTTCATATATTTTAGGTAAGTGTGGCCTTACCAAGTGTGGCATTATAAAGTGGTACTTACACGTCACGTGATCTGGATTCTCTGTGACATACAAAAGAGATCTGGGTGCTTATAGGTCTCTTTCAGAATGATCTCTTGATCCCCCCACAGATCCTCCTGAGCTGCAGGGATTCTTCTCCCATTAAACTGAGCAGCACTGGAAGAAAAGCAGAAACAAAAATTCTCCGTTTCCCCCCCAAAAAACAAGGAAAAGTCAGGAGGGATTTTTTTTTTACTGGAATTAGGGGTTCAACACAGGTGAGCCATCCACCTTTGGCAGGTATTGTCTAGACTTGAAGACTCACAGAGCCGCAACCCTTCTGTTTGCAATTTGTGATATTTGTGAAATAAGTAAGCATGCCAAATATGGGCTGCATTCAAGAAAATGGTCTCCAGGTCCACCCTGAGGCAAGATGGGCATAAATTAAGGCAATAAATATTCACAAGGAGGCCACTGAGCAATTCTGCTAAAATACCAAAATGTGGCTTTCCTAATCTCTCGCCAACTCCTGCTTAGATGCAGGTAGAAGATCGTCCAGTCTGAGGAGAAGAAGAACGAAGAGTTTTCAGGGGGGTCCAGACTGGGATTAAGGGAGATGTTTACCTCTCTCTGTACAGGCTGGGAACGATGGGCTATGTGGCTGCGTCCTCTTTCCTTCTTCCAGCCCTTTGCCTGCCTCGGTGGCTCTTCTCAGCTGTGGGAGGCCGTCAATGTGACAGGTGGGCAGTCAGAAGGTGCTTTTTTTAGACCCTGCTGGAAACCCTTCTTGCCCCCTCCCAGGGTTATTTATACCCAGTGGTGTTTACACAAGGGCATCCGGAGTAACACTGACTTTCAAAACAAGGGAAAGAAGGAGGCCGGAAGTCTCTCTTGAAGATCAATGCACCTTAGACCCCACCTGCTCCAAACAGTTGCACGACAGATGTGGACAAAGATTGGGGATGATGGGAGCTTAATCTATGTGGGTTTTCCATTTGTATTGTATCCTCAGCTGAAGGACTCACTATTATGGTTGGATAGACTCCTCCAACATCTGGCACAAATGCCATTAGGAAAGGATTCCCATTTCCAAAACATTTTATTGGGGGGTCCTTGGTGCTTTCTCCTTGGAGGAGAAAGGAGAAGGAGAAGGAGAAGGAGAAGGAGAAGGAGAAGGAGAAGAACTATAGGGTCCTTGATGCTCTCTGAGCTTGGCGGTTTTCTTGCAGACATTTCATGACCCAACTAGGTAACATCATCAATGCTGATGAGTGTGGGTTTTGCCCCCTGCTTATATATTTTCTCCTTTATGGTTTCTTGAGTAGAATATTTGTTTTCTGCTTGATTGTTTGTCTGGAATTAATCCCTGCTTATCTGGATGTGGGCTACTGATCTGTTCTGGTCTTTTTATTTCCTTTTTAACTTCTTTATTGTCTTTTTGGAATGGTGTGTAAATGTGCTTTGTGTGATGTGTGTTTTGTGTAAACGACAAGCCTCCAAGAATTTGCTAACATTTTTGGATTTGGCTCAATCTAATCTACTAATTGTTTCCGAGTTGAATCTGTCACAGTCTTTCTCCATCAAACTGCATGTACCTCCATTTTCCCACATTCACATGTCCGTGTGTACAAAGATATCAGTAGAAATCTCAATTTGTAGTCCTGTCCCCCCAATACACAATAACAGCATCACGGACCACTAATATGATCTGCTGGGTGGGCGTAGCTAGGTGGTCATGTGACTGGGTGGGCGTGGCCAACTCCTTACCTCCCTGTCCGGGCTCCTTGGGGCCCCAACAGGAAGCAGTTGCTGAAGCTAAGCAGCCACCAGGAGAAAGAATTGGCAAAACAGCTCAGTTCAAACTGGAGCTGACCGAGAAGGAGGCTCAGCAGAAGCACCTCACTGAGGACTAGGAGCATAGGCTTTCCAAGCAGAGGGAAGACCTGCGGGAGTGCAAGGCCAGGTACTGGCGCCTGGAGGCTCAGCAGGTTGAGATGGTCAGCCAGTTCCAGGCCATGATGCACTCCCACTGGAACAAGGTCCTCTGGCTCTTCGCCACCAGCACCGCTTCCCTCCAGCCTTTGTCCAAAGCCCCACACCAGGAGGCAGAAGCAGACCCCAAGTCGGAATTTCTGCCCCCCTCTGACCCACACAGAAAGACCCTGAAGGGGGAGACTCTCCGCAGCAACACAAACGTTCATTGCACGTATCCATCCCAGGGGCCGTAGTTTGAGGACCCCTGATTTAGTGCAATGTTTTTCTGCAGACCACCAAAATTTTCTCACGGACCACCAGTGGTCAATGGACCACCAGTTGATGACCGCTGTTCTAGTCCAGCTCCCTGCTCAAGCTGGAGACCCTATGCCCGTGATGGCAAACCTATGACACGCGTGCCACAGGTGGCACACGGAGCCATATCGGTGGGCACGCGAGCGTTGCCCTAGCTCAGCTCCAGCACGCGCATCTGATTTTCGGGCCTTTTGGGCCCACTGGAAGTCAGCAAACGGGCCTTTTCTGGCATCCAGAGGGTCTCCAGAGGGGTGAGGAAGCTTGTTTTCGCCCTCCCCAGGCTCCAAGAAAGCCTCTGGAGCCTGGGGAGAGTAAAAAACAGGCCTACTGGGTCCACTGCGCCATCACGTGCCAAAAGCGGGGGGAGCGTGCACATGCGTGGGGCGCATTGAATTATAGGTATGGGCACACACGCACATGACCCCCCCATGCTCCCCCCGCTTTTGGCATGCAACGGCAAAAAGGTTAGCTATCACTGCCCTATGCCATTTCAAATGGCTGTCCAGTCTCTTCTTGAAAGCCTCCAGTGATGAAGCACCCACAACCTCTGGAGGCCAGCTGTTCCACAGGTTGATTGTCTTCACTGTGGGGAAGCCTCTCCTTTAATTCCAGGTTGCTTCTCTCCTTGATTAATTCTCATCCATTGCTTCTTTGATCTGCCTTCTGGTGCTTTTGACCCCCTCTTCTTTGGGGCAGCCCCTGAAGTATTGGAACACTGCTATCATGTCACCCCTGGTCCTTCCTTTCATTAAATTAGACATACCCAATTCCAGCAACTGTTCTTCATATGTTTTAGCCTCCAGTCCTCTAATCATCCTTGTTGCTTTTCTCTGCACTTTTTCCGGAGTCTCAACAACTTATTTTAAATTGTGGTGACAGAACTGGATATATGACATGTAAACAGCAAACTTTATTGCACTGCACAAAAGAATAAAAGAGGCCCCGAAAACAGGTGAATATTTGGTATTTGTTTCTTTGTGTTTGTTTGTTTGTTTATTATTTTCAAGGCAACTCTGAGTGGCTTACAGTTTATAGCAAGATCAGTGAGATGAGCAAGTCTCAGCGGAGAGCAGTTGTTTTAATAATTTATTTGCTGGAGATCCTCCCAAATCGTCCTTCCTCCTCCATTCAGAAGCAAGAAAACCTTGTGCCAGAATAAACTGCGAGAACACAACTTCTTCTTCTTCTTCTAAGTGCATTTGCAAGAGTAGCACAACTACGGCAGGACCTTCCTATGGAGGCGTCCCAGTGCTGCCGAAGAGGGCACCCACCCCTTTTTCGCCCCCCCCCCAGGGAAACCTCTGGGAAGGGGTCTGGATTGTCCCCTCAAAGGAAGGCTACTTCACAAAGCACGTGGCTTCCGCAGTGGTCCGAGAGGGGCCACAGCCATCCTTTGCAAGACATGAGAGCTAGGGAAGGGCCTTCCTGCAAAATGGCGGCTCATGATTCTGGTGCCTGACCTGCCCTGTCTTCGGTCTCCTCCTGAGGCTCGTACTGAGGAATGACCGGCTCGGCCTCCTCCTCCTCCTCAGCCCCCATCATGTCCACTACCTCCTCCTCCACCTCAACCCCCGCTTCACCCTCTGCCTGGCCCCCCGCTTCACCCTCTGCCTGGCCCTCCGCTTCACCCTGCTTCTCTCGAAGCAACGGCAGCGCACCCTCCATGACGAGGGGCACGTCCTGGTGCACCACCACTTCCACGGGGGAGCCCTGGCCGTCGCCCCCTGCCTCGGGCTCGTAGCTCTGGAAGCTGTTGCGCACCTTCATGATGTACTTGCGGAGCACACTGGCCCCGTCCATGGGGTTGCTGGCCACCCCACTGGTGGCCACCGACTGCCGGAGGTGCTTCATCTCTGTGTGGAGACGCAACACCGATTTGTTCAACTCGGTCAGGCGGTTCCCCAGGTCTGAAAGTGAGAGAAGGCGAGAGCTGGTGGGCCCCGAAGAAGCGCCAGGCTTCGTCTCCCAGCACACACAACCCACCATCATGAGGCCAACTATGGACACCCAAAGCTTGGTCACCCAGAGAGTCGTGCCCAGGTGTTCCTCTGCCAAGGTCCTTTCGGTTTGAGGCACAGAGGGAGGAAGGGACGTTTCTCTGAGGCTTGGGGACCCCGAAGAAAGGAAGAAACACAGGTAGTCCTTGACTTAAGACCACAACTGAAACCAAAATTTCTGCAACTAAGCAAGACCGTTGTTAAGTGAATCACTGCAGTTGTTAAGTGAGTCACACAGTTGTTAAGTGAATCTGGCTTTCCTTTGCTTCTCAAAAGGTCGCAAAAGGGGATCACATGACCCTGGGACACTGCAGCCGTCATAAATTTGAGTCAGTTGCCAAGGGTCTGAATTTTGATCATGTGTCCCTGGGGATGGTGCAGCAGTGTGAGAAACGGTCTTAGATCCCGTTTTCTGGTAACTTCAAACGTTCATTAAATAAATTGTTGGAAGTCAAGGACTAGCTGTCATCCCGTGGGCTCAATGCCTGGGCAGCCATACTTGGAGCATGGCAATCTTGGAGCAGGCTGGGGGTCTGGAGGGGAGAGTCCAGGCCTGCAGACTAAGGGCTGCCCCCCAGGAAAAGTGGGGAGGAGTTGCCCCAGTGGAGAAAGCGAGGATGAAGGCCGTGGGCTGGGCAGTGGGGGTTCCCATGGGGTCCTCCCATTCCCCTCACATCTTGTGCGGTGCGTGTGGGTCTTCTCTGGGAAAGGACCGGATCCCTGGCCCCACCCCTGGACAAGCAGCCTTACTTCTTCCTTCTCTGGAGGCTTCCAAGAAAAGATCAAACAGCCTTTTCTCTGGGAAGCCACAAGGTCTCCAGCCTTGGGCAGGGGGTTGGACTAGATCAGGGGTCCCCAACGCCCCCGAGCAGCAGCCGCAGCCCATTCGGAACTGCCCCCCCCTCACCTTTCCTCCGGCTTTCCTCCAGCTCCCGCCTGGCCGTGTCGATGTAGCGCTGCACCAGAGCCTTCAGCACCTGGCGCTGATAAGACAGGCGGGGTTCAGTCCGGCCGCCCCCTTCTTCCACCGAGGGATTGCTCTGGGAAACAAAAGGCCATGGCCAGCTTATTTGTTTGGCACCCAGGAAGCAAGCTAGAAATACAGCCAGGAGCTCTGAATTCTATATAAATTCTATGAATTGCATAACAATTCCCACTAAGTTGCAATCTTTCCTGTTTTCTAAACTTTATTATTATCTAACATATTCAGATTTACCCAAAGCAGACACATTAGGAGTTTGTGGGGTTCTTGGTGGTCTCTGAATTTGGTTGTTTTCTTGTTGAGTGTTGTTTGCTCTCTGTTTATATATAAGCAGCTTGCTTGCAGAGGGCAACACCCCCTCCCTTCCAGCACTGATGATGTTACCTAGTTGGGTCATGAAATGTCTGCAAAAAAACAGCCAAGCTCAGAGAGCACCAAGGAGCCCACTCTCCTCCTCCTCTCCAGAAACCACCCTCCCCTTTAGCACTGATGATGTTCCCTAGATGGGTCATGAAATGTCTGCAAGAAAAAAATGAATGAAAATGAATGAAATCAATGAGAATAAAATGAAAAAAATGAAGCTCAGAGAGCAACAGGGACCCCACACTCCTCCTCCTCCTCCTCCTCCCTTCTTCTAGCACTAATAATGTTACCTACTCTGCAAGAAAACCACCAACTTCAGAGGGCACCAAAGGCCCCTCAGTCTTCCCCATCCTCCTCCTCCTCTTCCTCTCTGCAAACCACCCTCCCCTCTAGCACTGAAGATGTTTCTTAGTTGGGTCCTGAAATGTCTGCAAGGAAAGTCACCAGGCTCAGCCAGGACCCCACAGTTCAACCGTGAGCCATAAACAGTCTCCTTTATTGGTAACGTGGTTAGTGGAAAGGTTAAGTGGGACCCTGCTGTCAAAGGCCAGAAGGCAGCGAATGTGCCTTGGGAAGCTCTTAAAGGGGAACTTACAATGGTGTTGATGGGGGGATATTTCTGACTCTTCTTAGGTTTGCAACAGCACATGAAGCGAAAGCAGCCCCTAAAAAGTGACCAATCAGGAGAGGAGAGTTAGCAAGGAAGCTTCTGCGGCAGACCAAGGAAGTGCTTTCGTTGCACAAAGGACCCCCAGGATGGTCGGTCGCTTCCCCTTTCCATGACGCCAATGGGGGGGGTGACATTCTTAACCCCAAAGGCCCCCCGGGGTTCTGCCTACAGTGAACCAAGTGGGCTTTCACAAGCCCCCCCTTCCCCAGGGACACCTGGCTGTGCTAGAATCAAGCGTGCGAGTGGAGCCCCGTGGCTTGCAGTCCAATAGGCTCCCTGCCCTCTGGGGGGACGTGGGGCAGGGGAAAGCTTCAGAGGAGCGTCCCCCATACCGGATGGCATAGAAGATGGACTTGGGCGTCGGGATGATGTTGAAGGGAACCGGCAAGGTTAAACCTTCCCTGAAGAAGGACAGGTAGAGTTTTGAGCGTGCAAATTTCCACTCTACGTCAGCGTCATTCTGTGGAAAAGGAGGGAGGGGAGATGCCCGTAAATAAATGAGACATGGGGGAGAAGAACTTATCAGTTTTTAACAGAGTAACGGAAGGGACCTTGGAGGTCTTCTAGTCCACCCCTGCTCAAGCAGGAGACCTTATAATGTTTCAGACAAACAGTTGTTCAACCTCTTCTTAAAAACCTCCAGTGTTGGAGCCCCCACAGCTTCTGGAGGGAAGAGGTTCCACTCTTTTAAATTTACTTTTCAGCCTCCAGCCGGAGTGAATTCTTTATCTTTTTTAATGTTAGATCTGAATTCTCAGCCAACATGGCCTTTGCTGGGAATTCAGAGAGCTGAAGTCCAAATATTCGGCTCCCTGTGTTCCCCTCGATAAAGTCCAGTCCCTCTCCACGTCCCTGAGGAACACTTGCCTCGATCTTCTGGAAAGAGTTGGTGATCATGGCAATGAGCATGTTGAGAAGGACGACCACCATGACGATGGTGAAGATTCCGTAGAGCACCCGGCCCACCAGCTCAGCCACGAAGAACTGGGGCATGTCCACCGCTTTGTGTTCCTCCATCCCCATCATTGTCCAGAAGAGGAACTTGAAGGTCTCGTTGAAGCTACACAAGAGAAGGGCTATCAGGTGGAACCAGTTCAGAATTTTGGAGGTCCACGATTCCATCTCCCCACAAACTCATGTGAGTAACCAGCAGTGCTGCCCCCATGACCGAGCCATGGGGATTTTCCTCCTAAGGACAAAGGACCTGAAGAACTTCATTCTCCTAACACAGCCAAGGACGGATCTAGGAAATGGCCTCCTGAGCTTGGGCAGAGGGCAGAGGTCTCCAGCATACCAGGGGGCTGGCTGAAGGGCCCTGTGTGGACCAGGAGACCAAGGTTCAAATCCCACTGAATGAGCTTTGGGAAGGGGTCCTAGGCCAACCCCTCCCTCTTTTGGCTTCTCTTAACAATTGTTATGAGGTGAACCAGAGAAGGAAAAAAACACCAGACCCCTTTCTTTGTGGGCTTGCTGAAGAAGGAAGGCAGGTCAAAATGTCACCAAAAAACTCCTATAGGCTTGGGTGGATTTCAGAGTGTCTGATTTTAATGTGGGAGGAATTTGGGTTGGAAGCTTCAAAGCGTTTCTGAATTTCATGGAGATGGTGGAGGTAAAGATAGAGGTAATTAGAGGTAAAGGTGCAGATGAATGGGTGAGATAGATGATAAGACGATAGAGATAGATGATAGATAGATAGATGATAGATAGATAGATAGATAGATAGATAGATAGATAGATAGATAGAGATATAATATAGAGATAGATATGATCAGAGTGATAGGGATAGAGATGGAGAGACAGAGACAGAGACAGAGAGATGAAGATAAATAAAAATGAAGAATCTGATGAAGAAAGATGGACCTGCCCCATTCCTTCCTTCCTTCCTTCCTTCCTTCCTTCCTTCCTTCCTTCCTTCCTTCCTTCCTTCCTTCCTTCCTTCCATTGAACTTCTTCCTCCTTTGAGGCCCCTCAGTGCCCGCCCTCCCGGTCTGCTTGGGCTTCAGCACGGTGGCTTAATCCTGGTGATCCCATCCAGTCATGGACTCCCCTCCCCAGACCCACCAGTTGCCTTACCTTCCCAGACGCTCCGATTCCTGATAATGGACGTAGATGTTGTTCATGCCACACAGGAAAGCGGTCAGGATGATCATCATGATGAACATGAATCTGAGGAGAAGCCAAGAGGAGATCAGAGCCAAAGGAGGTGCCCTCCGCCTTCTTCTTCCCCAAACACAGGCAGGGCCTGCGGGACCATTCCTCTGAGAACGCCTCTCCTAGGATCCCTCACCAAGGATCACTTCTATGAGGCCTTCTCCAGGTTGGGGAAACATCTCAAGAGCTTTCTATGTCCTCCTCAGGCTACAGCAGGGGACCTGAGTCGGAGGAAGGCCTCCTGGTGCCCATACCGAATCATGTCATCAATCATCTTCCCAATGGAAATCTGGAGTGTCCCCAAGGTCTCGTGGGCAGGGAGGATGTAGGCTAGGCGCGTGAAGCTCAGCATGCTGGTGACAGCAAAGAGCACCTCGGCCATGAACTGGGGGTCTTCAGGGTGCCACTCCAGCCGCTCTGTGGAAGAGGGAAGGTTAGACACAGGCTGACCATCGGGATCTATTTGCTCAAATTGGTCTAAGATGGGCTCCGATCTGAAGCCCTGAACGACTTATGGCTCAGCTCTCTTCATGCAGGGATAGCTTCAAGATCACAGGAAGTAACAGTACCGCTTCTATACTGGCACTAGTGAGGCCATAGTTGGAGTATTGCACCCAATTCTGGTCACCACAATACAAAAAAGATATGGAGACTCTACAAAGAGGGCAGAGAAGAGCAACAAAGAAGATTAGGAAGCTGGAGGCTAAAACATACGAAAAACGGTTCCAGGAACTGGGCATGGCTAGTCTAGTGAAGAAAAGGACCGGGGGAGACATGATAGCAGTCTTCCAATATTTGAGGGGCTGCCACTAAGAAGAGGGAGTCAAACTATTCTCCAAAGCCCCTGAAGGCAGGACAGGAAGCAACGGATGGAAACTAATAAAGGAGAGAAGCAACTTAGAACTAAGGAGAAATCTCCTGACACTGAGAACAATTAACCAGTGGAACAGAAGTTGCCTCCAGAAGTTGTGGGAGCTTCATCCCTGGAGGCTTTCAAGAAGAGATTGGTCAGCCATTTGTCCAGAATGGTTTAGGGTCTCCTGCTTGAGCAGGGGGTTGGACTAGAAGACCTCCAAGTCCCTTCCAGCCCTATTATTCTATGCTCTAAAAAATGGATCTGCCCAGATATTAAGGTCAGTAGGAAGACCCCTCCCCTGGAAGATGGGCAGTCCTTCCAGGATCCCTTTGCGAGGCACACTGGAGACACCTGTCCTACGCTTGATGTTGTTCTCTCCAAGCTGCACATTGTATCCCATTGTTCTGAGGCACAACTGAAGCTCTTGGTCTGGATGGATGTGGGAAGACCTCCTTCAAGAAGTAGACTTGGCCACCGATCTTTCGGCTTTCATAATAAGAATCCTGCCCTTCCTCTTCCACTCGGCTTCTTCTGGAGCTCAGTAGCAGGTTTGACAAGAACTTCAGTGCCCACTTTTGATTTTGTGGGGTTTATCCCTTGAGCTTCCTCTAAGCCAGAGGTATCCAACCTTGGCTACCTGAAGACCTGTGGACTTCAATTCTGGGAGTTGAAGTCCATAGATCTTCAAGTTGCCAAGGTTGGACATCCTTGCTCTAGACACAATTCTACCCAACAATAATGACCCAACAACATTGACTCCCCAGAGTCAACCAACTCACTAGCTTGGGTATAATAGTAGCACTCTGGAGTAGAAGCCTGGATGTCCAAGCAGAAAACTTGTCCTTTGAGGTAGACCAGCAACCTGAGCACAAAGGAAGCCAAGTACATGCTGAGGATGACAATGTCCAGGAAGTTCCACCAGTCAAGCAGGTAGCTGCGCAGCCCTTCGATCCAGACCTCCTTGCACTCGAACCAGAAGAAGCCTGGAAGGACAACGGTTGTTATGATAGGAAGCCTCCAAAGCACTTTGTGGTCTCCGCCAACAAGGCAACTGGACTGCTGAAGGTCCTGCCAGGTCTTCTCCACCAGGCAAACCCAAAGCCTCTTCTCTGCATCTTCAACCAGGTTGGGTCTGAAAGAACAGGCTGGCTTCCATCAGTCCAAACTCTCCCACCTTCCAACTCCAGTCTCCCACAAAGCCCTACAACCTTCCAAAAGGCCCTCACCCTCTGCCCCCTCCCTCCCCGTTGGTTTCTCTTCAGTCCTGTCCTGTCCTGAATGCAAATGGTCCTCTCTTGTGGCCAGGTGGAGGCTGTTAAACAGGTGAAGCCATTTCTCTGCCAGAACAGCATCCAGAACAACACCGACCTCAACATTGGTAGGTGAGGAAACCCATCTGATTCTCCCTCCTCCTCCTCCTCCTCTTCTTTCTCCTCCTTTTTTTCCTTCTCCTGTGTTTTTTATTCGGTTTTCCTCCTCCTCCTCCTCCTCCTCCTCCTCCTCCTCCTCCTCCTCCTCCTCCTCCTCCTCCTCCTCCTTTCCCTTCTCCTCCTCCTCCTCCTCCTCTTTCTCCTCCTTTTTCTCCTTCTCCTCTGTTTTTTATTCGGTTTTCCTCCTCCTCCTCCTCCTCCTCTTTCTCCTCCTGTTTCTCCTTCTCCTCTGTTTTTTCTTCCCTGTTTTCCTCCTCCTCCTTCCCCACCCCACTGGTGGTGACACCAACAATGAGAGTAAAAGGTGTGATGGACAGATAGAAGGTGATGAGGAAGTGATGCCAGACCAGGCTGTCCAGCCACAAATGTCCTTCACTTTCAGGTCTCCCATTTTCCTAAAGAGAATCGAGAAGGTGCCCAGGAGAACTTCATCTTCCAGGAAGCAGCCCAACAGGTGCAGAAGAAGCAGATACCTCTCCCTTCCCTCTCCCCTCACTCTGGGCTGGAGGCACCGCTCGGCCACCTACCTGTCACCCAGATCATGTGAAGGGACGTCTCCCACATGCTCTGGTTCCGCCCCTTGAAGGAATCGTGGTGGTGCTCCAGGATCAGGGACTCCACCAGCAGGAAGACCAAGAACCAGACGTAGGAGGCCGAATGCAGCAGGAATTTGAGCACCGGGATTTTCAGCATTTTGCCGATCTGTCAGCAACGAAGGAAGCAACCAGAAAGTGGTCACCCCATGTTTTCAAAAGTGGGGGAAGCATCACTGAGGCTTCTCCTGGTCCCTCAAACTCCTTACCATTCAAGGCAACCATTATGGCTCAGCCTTCCATCCTTCCCTGGTCGGTAAAATGAGGACCCAGACTGCTGGGGGCAATATGCTGACTTTGTAAACAGCTTAGAGAGGGCTGTAAAGCACTATAAAGGTATATAAGTCTAAGTGCTATTGCTAGGGTTGGAATTCATTGTTGGAATATATTTCTTATGCAACAACTACAGTAGTATTCAGCCAGTAGATGGCAGTGTTTACAAGTCTGGATCTATGGTATATACTCTATGCTCTTTTGTTCTAAGTAGAATTTCCTGTTACAGTTATATAGTTGAATAGTAAAGCACATGGTGACTGTGCTCTGTTCTGAGATCTGTATATATATAAACAGGACTTCGAACAGCTGGGGCTATCTCAGCCTTCTCCAGCCGATGTATCATTATGGTCCCTCAAAGTCTGCACCATTCAAGGCAACCACCAGTTCAGCTCCAAAGGTCCTTTTCCAAGAGGCAACTGGACTTCCTGGGTTTCTTTGAAGATGTTTTGCTTCTCATCCAAGAAGCTTCTCCAGCTCTTGGGTGAGAAACTGAATGTCTTCAAAGGCAAAACAGAAAGTCCTGCTGCCTCTTGGAAAAGCACCTTTGGGACAACCGTGGCCTGGATGACTGAGAATCACCATAGACACCAGCTCAGCCTTCCCCAGCTGATGCCCAAGGTACGCCAGGACTCAGATCCCAGCATTCCTGGCCAAAATGGCCACTGGCTAGGAATTCTGGGATTTCTCTCTGCAACGACACCGTTGCAGAGAGCTGGCTCCTGGGTTTCAAAGAGCAGGGCAGGCACCAGGGAGAACATCCCCTGCTGGGTGTTTCGCATTCAAGCTGTTCAGAGAAGCTGCAGATGCCATCCCCCCCCCCCCCCCTCCCTCACATGCTTGCTTGGTCATTGTTGCTCAGCCCAATCTGGAAGTCCAGGGACCCACCTTGGATTTGGGGGCGAAGAAGTAGGTCATGGACAGGAAGGGCATGGCCAGGAAGATGGAGAAGGAGATGAAGACCTTCCAGAGGCTTTTGCTGCCCCGCCAGCTGGGCAGGCTCCCACACCAGATGGACGACAGGACTTGCTGGCAGACGGGATGAGCCACAAACTGAGCCGGGAGGGAAAGACGGGAAGGAAGGAAGGAGAGAGTCAGCTCCGGCGCCTGGTTTCCAGCTGGGTGCACCCCACAGATTCCAGAAGCAAATACAGAATACCAGAATTGGAAGGGACCTTGGAGGTCTTCTAGTCCAACTCCCTGCTTGAGCAGGAGACCCAACAGTACCATCATCATATCTGTGGGGTTCAAAGCAAATGAAACCTTTTCCTGGGTCATATCCATCCTTCCTGACCCCATTGCATGGCATTAAAACACACACTGAGCTTGATTGTTTTCTTGCAGATGTTTCATGACCCAACTGGGTAACATCATCAGTGTTAGGGTTATAATGTAATACAATACATAGCACTGAAGATGTTCCCTAGGCAGGCAAGGAAACCACCCAGCTCAGAGAGCATCAAGGACCCCGCAGTCCTCCTCTTCCTCTTCCTCTTCCTTTCCTTCCTTCTCTCCCTCCCTCCCTCCCTCCTTCCTAGCACTGATGATGTTCCCTAGGCAGGCAATGAAATGTCTGCAAGGAAACCACCCAGAGAGCATCAAGGACCCTGCAGTCCTCCTCTTCCTCTTCCTCTTCCTCTTCCTCTTTCTTCCTCTTCCTCTTCCTCTTCCTTTCCTTCCTTCCTTCCTTCCGTCCTTCCTTCCTTATCCTCCCTCCCTCCCTCCTCCCTAGCACTGATGATGTTCCCTAGTTGGGTCATGAAATGTCTGCAAGGAAACCACCCAGCTCAGAGAGCATCAAGGACCCCGCAGTCATCGTTGTCATTGTCCCCCTCCCAGATCATTCTAGCTCTGAAGATGTTGTAGGTTGTGATCATTGTGACCTAAGAGCAGCCAATGAATATGAATCTGGGAGCTCCCCCCTCCTCCCTCCCTCCCTCCCTCTTAAATATTCTTTACTTTAATGAATAATCTTCAAATCTACAACTTTCCAACAGCTGGGAAGAGGGAAATGAAATGGGAATGAAAAGAAATATTCTAAGAAGAAATTCCCCCATGGAGTTTTGCAGTCTAAACAGGCCCCATCGTTAGCTTCCCCGGTATTTCTCAAATTTCCCCGTTCTTCCCTTAAAAAAAGAAAAGAAAAGTGCCACGTAGTAGGAAAGAGAAATCCAAACGAAGGCCGAGGGCCTGCTCCCTCCCTTCGGCCCCCTCACCCGTTTCTGGTTGTAGTTGACCGCCAGTCGGAGCCTGGCCAAGTTGGGGATGCCCTCCTCAAAGGCCTGGTCATCCATCCCGTCGTCCTCATCGTCCATCTCACCTTCCCCCAGCTCGTTCAGGATGGCCGTCACCTCGCTCTGGTTGCGGCACATGCCCAGGAGCTCAAAGGCAAACTCCTGGCACAGGTCCTCCAGCGACAGGTAATCTGGCTGGATCAGAGGAGAGGGAGAAGGCGCATGAGCAAGCCTCCAGAGACTCCTCTCCCCCCCCACACACACATGCCCCACTGCTCTGCTGCCGTACGTCATTACAACCCCCCCTCCCTTCTAGCACTGATGATGTTCCCTAGTTGGGTCATGAAAAGTCTGCAAGAAAACAACCAGAAAGCACCAAGGAGCCCATAGTCCTCCTCCTCCTCTTCCTCCTCTTCCTCCTCCTCCTCCTCCTCTCCACAACCCCCCCTCCCTTCTAGCACTGATGATGTCAATGGAGATTCTCAGTCTTCCCTGTGATGGGGGTCCCAAAGGTGCTTTTTTTCAAGAGGCAACTGGACTTTCTTTGAAAACATTTCGCTTCTCATCCAAGAAGAAGCTGAAGAAGCTTCTTGGATGAGAAGCAAAACGTCTTCAGAGAAAAACCAGAAAGTCCAGTTGCCTCTTGAAAAAAAGCACCTTTGGGATCGCACTGGTGATGTTCCCTAGTTGGGTCACGAAGCTCAGAAAGCACGAAGGACCCACAGGTCTCTGTTCTTCGTTAGAGTTAGCTAAGGGTCAACGGAATTCAAGGGGGCTGACTGAGTTTGCTTGTGGCTACGTAGAGATTCTAGGCTGATACCTCGTTTAACTCCCCCCCTGGTTCTGCCACTCCTTCTCCTACAAGGACTAATGGCTCCGCAACTTCCCACACTCCCCACGGCGGCCCTCCCAACGGCAGACCTTGAACTCAGGTTCCTTCTTGGAGAGCCACTTGAGCTCCCGGCTGAGTTTGAAAGCAGTCAACATGGGGTCCTCGCTGGCGATGGAGAGGTAGGCCCGGCTGGCGATGCCTTTGTAGGTGTTGATGCGGGAGAGCGAGAACTTGAGCAGGTCAAACTTCCGCCCGTTGGAGCACTCCAAGCAGGCGCAGGAGACCTTGTGTGGGGGAGAGATGGTGTGGCCTTTCTTCATCAGCATGTCCACGATCTCGTAGAGGTCCTTCTCGCAAGCCAAGGTGAGAGGGGTCACCCCGGGGGCGAAACGGGAGTTGTCAATGGAGTTATCGAAGAAGGCCATGGAGAAGGATTTGATGTCCATCTTCATGCCCTTCTCTTGGTCCAGCCGATCCAGGAGCTGCTTGACCACACCAGGCTGGTTGGTGTCCACGGCCACTAGCAGGGCCTCGTGGACTTGCCGGAAATCAAACTTCACGAAGCGTAACAAAGTCTTGGTGATCTCCGCCCCGCCAGTTCGGATGGCCAAGTTGAGAGCCTCACGCCAGGCCCGATCCTCACTTTCGTCCAGCTGCCGCAAGATCCCATCACTGACATTCAACATCTGCTGGATCTTGACCAACTGCCCATCTTGGATAGCAGCCAAGAGGCCCTCGGGAAACTTCAGCTTCTTGTTGACGATTTCCTTCCAGTTGGATGGCTAAAAGAAAGACGGGGGGGACGTTCATTGCATCGGTATGAAAAGATTTGGATGGATTCATGCTGCCGTCATTAGAGATCCCATTGTTGTGGGTTCCAGTGGATCCCAAGAACCGTGGGGACGCTGTGATTAGAGTGCAGTATTGCAAGCAAACCCTGCCCACAGCCTGGAGTTCGATCCTAGGGAGCCTCAAGGTTGACTCAGCCTTCCCAGGTCGGCCAAATGAGGACCCAGATTGTTGGGGGCAACAGATTGTAACAGATTAACAGAGTTGGAAGGGACCTTATAGGTCATCTAGTCCAACCTCTCCCCCATTCCCCGCTCAAGCAAG